GAGACTGGGTCATTGGGTTAAACCTTAAGCTGGTGTCTGCGCTTTCATCTTGCCTCCAGCAGAGCAGAGGCAGGATCTGATCTGATAAAGTCAAGAGAACAGACAAACTAGGGTAACGTCTCTCTTTCTTCTGCTACTTGGAAGATTCAGAGTAGGAGGAGAGAAAGAGATGCAAGTATGTGAGATTGACTGATGTGCTGGTGGTCTTCACCTCATTAGGACCTCCCTGATGTCTTTGATGGCTGCTAAGGGCCAGAGGGTGAAGTGATCGAGATCGAAGGATTGAAGGCTCCTGTACCCTCTTCTCTCTGGTTCTTTTTTCCCACTTTTACTGCTCCTTTTCCAGCCTTACCATCTCACGTCTTTTCTCCCTTGTTCTTTTTTTTCACCTTTTCCCCTCAGCCTCCTATTCCCCAAAATGTCTTCATTTCTTCCCTAGAACTGAGTAGCCCAGCAGTGAGAGCTGACACAGGGGTCTGATTTGTCAGGGTCAATGTGATCCAACGATCCATCAGATCCATCAGGCCGATGCCGTGGACTCCTGGGGGACTGGGCCTTTGTTTGGCTAAGCCGCTGATGGAAGCGAAGCCTCTGTTGGGGAAGCCATTAAGGGTGCAGCAGGCCCAGAAAAATGAGCCGGGCTTGTCACTCCACATCAGGAGCTCAGCCACGGTCGCAGATCCTCCTCAGACGCCGTCACATTCGACCACTGTTTGTCCAAGCCTTTGAACTAGGGACAACTAGATAGCTAGATGAATGAGCCCATGTGTGAAGTGGCTGTGGGGCGCTACAGGTTGGCTCACAGTCTTGGATTGATGGTGAGTGCAGGATTGTTATCTAAAGTTGGGTTGAGGAAAGATGATAGGTGAAGAGGGAGTGATGAAGGTGACTTGAGGATTTGTCCCATAGCAAACTCCCATTTGGTGCGGGGAAGGTTGCCATAGGTACTGGTAAGAAGATGAAATACAATTCAAGAAGTCCAGTTTGAGGGATACATCCATGAGTATGAAGTATCATCAGATACAAAGACACTACCCAACGGTTTATAATACTTAGGCAATTTTAATAGGATTTTAATAGTGATTTTAATTCTGGAAAGTTAGTGCAGGGCAACAGTCCTTTTTTTTATATAACAAATGCAAGGTAAAAACAACATAGTGCTGTTCTCATTACAAGGTATTCTACCAAGAATGTGCACTTATAGATGCTTGCATTACCAGATGACAATGCATTGCATTTTGTGCTGAACAACCCTACGTTTTGTAGTTGGAGCACCCTCTGTCAGCACTTCTGCCGATGCAGTGGTTTTTTTTTTATCCATATATTTTTTTTTTTATTGGTTTTTAAATGTCTGCCCTGTCACTCCGCCTTTGAGTGTGGCCGCCCAGAACAGCTATAAACACGTACGCCTTCAGAAGTGATCGGGCAACAAACTTGTTCTTTGCTTGCGTCACCTGGCCTTGAGAGATGATAGAGCTCTTAGTGGCCAATGGACCATTTTTTTTCTGTTTAAAACTTCTTTTAATGACTGGCATCGTCCTCTCTGCACATTGTCTAACCCGCCTCTTACTCTCTCTTTGTTCCATGACAGAGATTGAACACCTCCACCTTGCGTGTCGTGGCCTCAGACTAAACATACTCTTCTGGTGTTGATGCGTCAGTGTAGCGGCTGCCTCTAACGATGACCAACTTATCTCATTAGAAAAATAATGATTTCACTGCCTGCCATTCCCAAAGATAGGCCCAGTATTTGTCTAAGGCTCTGCGTCCTTCGCTGAGCTGCTGGGCCCAGGGATTGGCTGCCTCGGCCCTTATGCCTGCCTGTCGTATATCAGCAGCACTGCCACCGTCAAGCCCCTGATTTATGGCTGTTTATCTTCCATCACCCCCCCCCCCTCCAACAGATGGGCCCTGGCTATTTACTCAGAGAGAGAAAAGTCCCAAACCAATTGAATAAATACAACAAACAAGAGGTAATCACGGGGAAGTTGGTTGTGATTACAATTTATTGTTCACCAGAGGAAACAGGAGATTGATCTGTCCTTGGTGTTTATCAGGTGTGACACTGATCATGTGTCCTAGATTAATCTGGCAGCGTTTGGTTTCCTTCTTATCTTAATTACTTTTTCCGCTCCAGTATGTGTGGACAGTTCTGGTCATTGTGAAGTGACATGATGGTATTGCATATGTATGTATGTATGTATGTATATTTAAAAAAAAGCACCTAAATGTTATATGAAGAATCCCTTGATATGATTTATGTTTATTAACAGTGCAATTGTGAAAACATTCCTTCAGCTGTCACCTTAAATCTCTGCAAGTATTAGCCCTAAATCTGACTTGCTGTCAGATCTTCACAGAGAAAAAAAACACATTGCACCATAAATTGTCTGTTACAGACACTGAGGGGCTTCAGTTGATTTCTGATTCTCTGGAGAAAGACCTTAAGTAATAACCCGACAGTATCAATTTTTCAAACCAGTTCTACTATTATTGTTGCAGTTTTTTTTTTTACTACCTGTAAGCAGCACAGTTTTTTTTTTTCTCAATTTGATGGATATAAACCAGATTTTGACCCTTGCACCTGTCAGTCATGAATTATGATTCCTGGTTTATGTTTCTCATAATCTGAAGTTAAAACTCTTTGAAAATGATTTTGGACGCAAGCACACAGATACTAGTTTGTAACATCCCACTCTGTACATTGCATTCCATAGAGACACACTGATACCTCATGCAGTGGGATTTATATTTCCTCAGCATTGAAGTGTGATAAATGTTTCCTCTCAGTGCGTATGAGCTTAAATAGAGACCATTATTCACATGGAGACGTCTCTTGTCTGTGTGTCTGAGAGTATCAGAAAAATGTGTCCCAGTCCACGTAGCTGATATGACTAATAAGAATAAAGTAGAGCGAGACGTTGGTGGGCTTCATGATGAGGTTCACTCCGCAGTCGTCACCTCTCACTCATCTACTGAGCAGAACCAATTATTCCTTATCTCTACTCTGATTAACCAGTGATGGAGTGTAACGGACCCAGGCTCGTTTTGACCACTGTCGCACCAGATGTGTGTGGAATAATCAAGCGGAGCTGTTTGAGTTTTTCTTTTTCAGCTTTTCTTATGGTAATGTTCATCGAGATTATTATCCATACGTATTACTTAGTAGATAAACGATACAGTATGTTTAAGAAATACTGATTCAACATGAAACTCATTTTTCAACCAAGTTTATAAAGATGAGCAGCCAAATAAAACTACTTCTAAATCTGACACAACTGCAAATATAATGTTTTGCATTTACAAGGTCACTATAACTCCAGAAATCTGTAATATGAAGCATGCAAACAAGACACTTTCATGCCCACACGTTACAGTAGATAAAAAACCAATTACTAGATATTCATCTGCAATGAATCAATTTGAAAAAACATATATTTTACGGTAGAATAATATGGTACACCAGTCGAACCTGTTGGACCTGTTTGCTTTTAGGACATAATTTCTTTATATGACATATGGAATGTTTCCATTAGGAATTGTCCACCATTTGGTAATGGTGACACCCACGTTAACAAATCAGTTTGATAGTGCGCTTAATGGGTAATTAAATCTTGTTCGACAGCATGATAACACATTAACAGGTTGAGTTCTTCCTGCTCAGATACTCCCTCAGGCTCATACTGTATGTGTAGTTTTAGATGCAGAGCGGCAGTATCTACAATATTTGAACTGCGGTCTGCCATGATGGTTGGTATGAAAGGAGGAGGTCCTGCACTGGTGTCAGCTCCGTTGAGAGATATATCCCCCAGCAGCAGATCTGCTCCAAGTCAGCCCACACTGAGAGACAGAAACCGAAATAAAGAGAGGGTAAACACATCTGGAGCCGATTGTTAGGATGGAGGAAGTATCCTTGTCAGGAATCGGACCTACAACCTGGTTGAGATCAGACCGAACAGCTCCTCTTGGCACACTCAAACTGCTCTTTTTTCTCGAAGTGGTTTGTGGTTGTGACATTAATTGTGTGGATCAGCACTGCACTGAATACGCAGTCCATAGGTGTCATAACACCAAATGCCTAGAGAATTTTTATGAAAAGAAAAATCAAATTCTCCACTCATTTAATAATCTTCCTGTCCCACCTTTACATAGCTTTTGTGTCAGTCCGCTCTACACTTCCTGACTCCCACACTTGTTGCATTTATTATGACAGTAGACCGGACCCTCCTCACATCACTAGCAGCCCCTCTAGCTGGCACACACAGGCGGCCGATGAGCGGGAAGGAAATTACATCATGGCACTTTTTGACCCAAAGCTTGGCAAGAGGAACCAGTGAAATATCTCAGTTGCATAGTGTGAGTTCATGAGATAGGATATAGTTTTGTTTTGTTTTTGTTTTTTTTAATGACATGGCTTTACATTGCTTCAGATGGGTGGTAGTGGTGGTAAGGGTGGTTATGAGCTCAATGTGGTGGAGACAGTCAATTTAAATCTCTTGAAAGTGTCACTTTGCACTCAAAGCTTCCTTTCTCAACCTCAAGACGGTTAACAGTCAAAAATGTTACACACACACACACACACACACACTTGGATATTTTCAGTCATTGTGGGTTTTATTCGCTACGCAGATTAAATTAAAATGTGTGTGGTGTTTCTAAACTTTCATGTTTTATAGATATTTCAGACCTGCTGCTATTCTTTCAGCTGTGGTCACACAGAATACAGATGTCACTCAGATTGACTAAGGAAAATGCAGAGCAGTCAAAACATAAAGTGGAAATGTTAACCCAATAACGCTAGATAAACAGTCAGGGGAGAGGAGCCAAAGACAACAGAGAGCGAAGGGAAAGTGTCCTGCTGGCATCAGGTTTCCCAGAGTAAGTGTTATTTGAAAAGCAGCTGAAGGGTGACACTCACTCTCCTCCCACCCGTTCTCCCTCTCTCCCTCGCTCCCTCCTCCCCCTCTCACTCGACCATCTGTTGTTCTCTCTCTTCTCAGGCTGCTCTAAGTGCCTTGAAACAGCTGTCGGAGCAGGGACTGGACCCGGTGGATGGCCCCATCAAGGTACGGTAGGATACGGATCACGCCAAACTGGCAGACAGCCGCTCCACGCTCACTCAGCGTTGGATGCTCTACCAATCAGCCAATCAGAGTGAATGTGAGCATCCAGATGTGTGTGTTTGTGTGTGTGTGTGTGTGTGTGTGTGCGTGTGTGCATGTGTGCGTGTGCGTGTGCGTGTGCCAATCTGGCTTATTGCAAATCCCAACGCTCCAGGCTGGCCCATCATCAGCTCCCTAACCACCCACACGCACGTCCCAACATTTCCGCTCGACATTTTTCTTCCATAGGAAAGCAACAGTAGGCGTATGTATTTACATGCACCACACTCCTGTCAGTGCTCGATATTTTGCATGATGACTATCGCCACCAAGGCTCAGTCATGGCAGAAGAGAGGGCTTTCTCCACGTACTTCCCCTTCCTCCCCCCCCTCCCCCCTTCGCTGCGTCCTCCATGACAAGGAAGGGAGGAAAGGAAGGAAGGAAGGAGGAAGGACGCCAGCGGAGAATCCAGTAGGAAAGTAGGAACACCGTGGGTTTGTTGGGAGGAAATCACTGTCAAGCATTTGTGGAGTATTTTCATAGTAGGTGTGCCCTGGGAAAAAAGTTTAGGCAGGGCTGTTTTCTTGTAGCTCTGTGTCTCCTTCAGAGCGAAAGAGGAAAGGAACAAAGAGAGGGAAGAGTTATAACAGCTTCATTTATGTTACCATCAGGGGAGAGGGGCAGCAATTACACTCTCACCTGAGCTGTTAATCACTTCTTTCTCCCTTCGGTCTTTCCCCTCTTGAGCTCTAAAACTCATTAATTCACCCATACTTTGCTGTTAACACATTATTGGTCACTGAGCCTCAGATGATTACAGTGATCAATGTGAAAATACACTTCTTTTCTTATAAATCAGCCGCACTCACACACATGAATCTCTGTCTTTACAGTCCGGTCTGATAAAAGCCACAGCACAGGTTCCACAGATGAAGAGTTAGTGTGAAACAGAGTGAGGTCAAGGACTTGTTAAGTGTCTGGAGTCACAGTCGCATCACTTTCGTTACCTCTGGAAGTTTTCTTTTACAAGAATCACCTATCTTGTTTTGAAAGAACTGGAACAAATTACCCAGAGCAGGACTGATTATTCGCAACATTGGACAAAATCCGCCCTAACACAGTTTCATGTGTCTTTTCAGACCAGTGAACCATGTGGGAGGGAGGACGGACATTAAACAGACTAACTCAGGCACCACCACTCAGGTCTGCAAGGATTCAAAGGCTGTCGTCTAGGAGCTGACAACCCCGACCCCCCCCCGCCCCGCTCGCCCAACCCCACCGTGTCCCGACCCCACCCTCCTTCGGCATACACGAACCTTACAAAACCCAACCCACCCTTCACCCTGATCTCCCATAACCTACAACAAGAACCTACACAGTGTTCCCACTACCCACAATTCCCCCACCCTCTCTACCACCCACCCACCCAACCCCCCCACGATTGCCACTGTATCCTGCAAAACCTGTCAACATGCAATAGGGTGGATGTGCACCGAGAAATGACCGACTAAAACACCATTACCTGAGTCTATGTGAAGACAACGCTATCTTAACACGTTTATTGATGATTTCAGTCAAAATTTAGAGACAAAAAATAAATAAACGAAATACAAACTAATGAGATAAATGCATGGTACTGTATGAAATCAAGGGAAATCCAAAGTGATAGACAATTTTCCCTTTGGATAAATGTCTGTTGGTATGGTTAAAACAAATATGTACATCATGCCATTGAAATACAAAAGAAACATTTTAGGCGAGAAACCAACTTGCGTACAGTAGCTTATTTTTTCGGGGGTATTATGTTTCCGTTTATTTTATTTTTTTTCTTTTGTTATTTTATTAATCTAACAATGCTTGAGTACTGTATTTAAAATTAACCAATGCCAGTGCTGTGAAAGTTGTAGTTGTTGTCTTCATATATAGTCACCCAGCTTACCTTGTATGCTGACATAAAAAAAAAGAGTTCATCTATCTATATGGATGTGTATGACTTGCAAGAGTATCATATTCCGAAAAATAACAAAGAAAAGTTTTTTTCATGTGGACAAAAAGGACAAAACTGGTGTTAGCAGTAATCAGTAGAAGTGCTGACCACCCAGGAGTGAAGGTTGGACCGACCTTCAGTTCCTGAAGGGTCTACCTATCCCTTTTTAACATGACCCCACACTGGCATAGCATCACTGGAGCATCACCTGACCAAGAGCGGAGACTAAGGGGCCACCACAGTTGTACTTTTTAACTAGAAAAAGAGGCCATTTGCATCGACAGTGGCTAGTTTTTCACGCACATTCTCTAATGCCAGTAAGCTTTTAACGTAGACTCCAAACTCCTGAGAGTTTTGTACGGACTGCATGTCCTCCAGTGAATGAAAAGTCCTCTCCATTCCAGTGATTTTGTGTCAGTGGATCATCCCCACTCTCTCCCCCCCTCCCCTCTCCCCCCACAGTTTTGTCGATCACATCTACACCCATTGTGTGTGTTGTATTGACCTGCCAAGGCATCAACTGGGTGCTTTTAATGCCTGCATTCTGGAGGGCATCTTTTGAGCGGAGAGAGCCTGCGTCCGATCTGCAGGCTCCCTCCCCTAAAGGCCACTTTGAATCACTTTGTTCACTGACACTGAGGATGTGTCTTCTTCTTCGCTGTGAGTGCAATGTGTAATAAGGCTGTTTCTGTTACTGAAATGCAGTAAAAACACCTCAGTTCATGTGGAAAAAAAAAAAAAAAATCTGTTTTTTGTGTCTTTCTTTCTCCTACGAGCAGATGTAAACACACCTCACTGGCTAATTAACACTGTTTTATCTTCTCATACTTAAATCTGCTTTTTTACACATATTCTAAAGGCATAAGCTGGGATGTAAATTGGGTTTTAATGTTAAGTGAAAATGAGAAACACTGTGGTGACGGTGACTGTAGCATATTGTGTTGGAGAGCAAACACTGATGGGGTGTGCACACCACCATCTGTACAACACAAAATAATCTTAACTCAAGGTCCATTTACTTTTTCCAGTGCTTTCAACCACATCAAACAGTGCGCTGCATCAGTTTTCTCAGTTGTCATGGAGTTGACTCAGTTGTCATCACACGACCTTAGTAGGGTGATGTGTTTGGAAGCTCCGGGTAAAAAGTTTTCTGTACTTGACACGAAGCCTCAGCTTTTAATTCTGAGAAATCACAGCTCAACTGAGATTTTACTCAAGTGACAGAAACTTATGGCAAGAGCCATGAAGTAGTTCTCAAATAATTCTTAATGGCATACATCTCAAAACAGAACTGAACGTCACATTCTCTTCAAAGTGTATTTTGTGTGTTTATGGATATCTGTGTCTTTAATACATATCCCACTGCATTCACTATTTGTAATGACTGATAATGTTTAATAAGAAAATCGCAAAAAAGAAATGGTTGGTTGTTCTCCCAAAGGACCTACAGAAGTGCACTACAATTGTAAGTGTGTCTTTATTCCAACTCTTGTCATAACACACATTATCATCTGCTGCTTTATCTAAAGCTGAAGCATACGCTATATGCTTTCTAATCATCTGATGACAATCCAAGCACAAGATTTATCTGCAACCCTGGCCCACTACGGTTTCTTATCTCTAAGTAGTATTATACTCTACTTCAGTTATGAACCTGGGGATATTCTATAGTTTTCTTACTGCCAACGAATCCTGTGAAAAGCCCAATACCAATAATGCCTCGAACAATACTTTCTCACCTTCTCATCATGTCTGTGCCTCTCTGCCCCAAGCCCACTGATTCCTAAGAAAACATACATTTTTAAAACGTATACAGTAGTTCAATAATTTCCTTCAACATCTGGGCACTGTAGTTTTTTAGCAAATATTGATCTAACAGGAGGAAATCTTGAATTTGTTTGGCACTATTTTCAGATGTGGATTAACACCTGCTAGTTACTATTTAAGAGAGCAGGAGAGTGCATTGTGTAGTGATTTGACTTTAAATAAATGGCGGTTAAGGAAGTAACATGTCATCCAGTGCAACAGTTTGACTTATTAATGCTTATTTAATCATTTTTGACAACAATGGAGATATGTGTTACAGTTTTGGCCACACAGGCAATAGTTGATATTGTTGCTTTTCATGGGATTGGTTCATTCATGGGATACAGTATATCCAGGAAGTCACTGGGTGTCATCCTTTTTAAAAGTCCCCCGGCACCAATTTCATGACAACCTGCAAGTTCACCAACATCTTCACAGTTTAATATGTAGCTCTGCAGCTCAAAATACCAAACCACTCTGTCATGTTGTCCTTCACTCGTGCTTGTGTTTGAAGATCAAGCCTCATGAATGAATAGCTACAACCATTCTGTTAATTTATACTGGAGACAAACCTTATGCTGTAATGGTTATCGTCACATAGTGAAAAGAAAAAGGCTGCTGTGTTTTCCAAATAGCGATACTTAATCTTTAACTTTCAGCAGGGGTGATAGCACAGGGATAGATTATGTGCTCTTTATCTATGACATTCTTCTGTTGCATCATTCCATCATCATGTAACTCCACCACCTGCGCCGTCGTCCAGCACGCCGGCCGCCTCTGCATCGAGAATCCAACTCTGCTCTCCCTCATTAGCGAGATAAATGAGCGGACGGGGACGGCGGCGGTCTAATACAACGTCACTGACTAATGGACTCAGCTGGCAGCTACATCTGCTTGCCATTGAGGAGCGCCAAGGCTGTTCACACACATTAGCAGCAGATCTCTATTCCAGAAGCTTGTGCAGGTAGTGGCAGACCAGCTTGAGGCCATGTTCGACCCAAGATGAATTGCTTTGCTCTGACCAGCCAATATGGGAGGTGAACCTTGCTGCCCAAAATAGAACAAAATCAATGGGGCTGTGGAGCTTGTCCGTGCCATGCAAAAGCAAATGCCAGAGTCATTGATTTTTCCATCTGAATTATGTCCCATCAACCCCCTTGAAGTCCTCTAAATTAGAGCTGTATTAACAAGAGGATAAAAGAGTGAGAGGAATCCTATAGATGTTGATCAATGTCCAAGCAACGATTCAAGCCAAAATTCTAATAGTTCTCTTTCTTGGATGAGTAAAAAGGATTTTTGTGTGTACCTTCCCAGAGCACAAAAAAGGCCTGTTTAATAGCGCCTCTTTGAGCTGCATGGAGTCCTAACAGTAGCTGGAAGTGGCTGCACTTGGTGCTGATTGCTTCTGTGCACAGAGGGATCGAAGCTGTCAGTACAACTCTCCCTCATATTAGAACTAATCTGCCACTGAGCAACTTTATCCAGCCCTGATTAGTCACGGCAGAGGAGCGCTGCGTGCTGAGGGCTGCAGCTCTGACATCTCCGCGCTTCCCTGTAATGCGCCGTGGAGGTTGGAGAGGAGCTCGCAGTGAGCAATCACACAGTCTGGAGGATGGGTGTATTCTCCGTCACTAAGTGATCAGTTCGCTCTGTGGAAAGATTTTTAAAGGTTAAAATGAGTTAGATCGGTGATTTATTTCAGTTCCAGCATTCAACAAATGAAGAATTGCTTTGGTTCTTGCCATCTATAAACCATAAACTGCTGTCAGCTAATGGACGTTTTTAATGGTAGTACTGTATTGTCTGTGGTCAGAGCTCTCACCAGCTTCTAATCTGTGCTATTCTTGGTATGAAGACATATACCTGAATTGGCATGTCAAATCTTAAAGCCATTATAACTGTCACCAGTGAGCTGCGTTCATTTTCACAACACATCTAGAATTGATCTTCTGTTTGTGGAGAGAGGGCGGTGATGAGGAATGGTCTGAGACGGGACTAAATTTTTAAAGACATGGCTGTTTGTTTGACCCAGATTTAGATATACAAAGTTCAAACCTTAAGGCTTGGGCTCATGATCTTGTTATTCCTACAACTGTCTGCAGGGGAAAACCCAGACACCAAAAACATTGTGTTTTTTTTTTTTACATTTCATTTATTAATTATATTTTCAGTGAAAGCTTTAATTAATTTAAAGGGCAGCAGTTTACCTCAGTGTTTTGGCATCTGAACACAAACAGGAAGACAGGAAGAGATATGAATCTTTTCATGGTTTTTAAATAATGTGTTTTACTTATTGTCACTTGACCTCCACTGCGCACAATGATGTGTACGCAGAGTTTAACACTAGGAGGCTGTTTTCATGTTCATCTGCTGAAGAGAGAACGTTTCTCTGAGCTCACTTGTACTTACGAGCATGATTTTGTGACATTACAACTAGTTTTGAAGCCAGTCATGGTCCAATATAAAAGTGTGAGGTGGAAACTTGAAACTTCCTGAGCACATACGCTGAGGATTATTGAAGACGGAGACATCTTGTTTCCGGTTGTTAAACTTTCAAAATGAGAATATTGGCATATTCATAGATTGTGGATTTTTTTTAATGAGGGTGAAGGGGTCGGTGTACTTTAGACGTTTAAAGATTATTTTAAGGATTTTTGAGAAAAAAAAAAACAAAAACATTAGACACAAATTATTATTGCAAGCACAGTATTTCTAATGTTTTTAAAACTTAAAAAATCAACAAGATTTCATGCTCCTCTTGAGATGAGAAAACCTACTGAAATGTGTCAAAAATGCATGTTCATGGGGCGCCCCGGTGGCTCACCTGGCAGAGTGCTTAGTCTGGGGTTTGAATCCAACCTGTTGCCGTTTGCTGCATTTCATCCCCTCTCTCTCTCTCCCCAACCTTCCTGTCTCTATCACAATAAAGGCAAAAATGGCCCAAAAAATTACTTAAAAAAAAAAGAAGCATTTTCAATAAACTTATAGCCTGGCACGACTTTTAAATTTAGACTATAAGCAGCACCATGGGTCAATAATATCCCCAAATCTTCTGACAAATAGCAAAGGCGTGACCTCAAAGGCAACATTCCTGCACAAAGCACAAACAACTCAGCAGTTTGACCATGTGAGTCCAAATCTAGCTCATGACATTTTAATGTGATTCTCTGCTGCTTTGGGAATTAAAAGTCAGGATCACCCACATTACAGCTCCGGTAGAAACTGTAGGAATTTCATTGTTGTTGTTCCCAGACGTCTCAACAGTGTAGACAGCTGTAGCACTGTTTTAATGCAGGTAATGGGTGGTTTTGTTAACCATTAGCCCACCCAGGCCCGTCATTATTCTCTCTGTGTATGAAGCTGAATGATAATAGTAGTAGTAGTAATGGTAGCTGTGACCTAACGCTAACCTTTCTGTTACTCATGAGGTTTTTATATCCTCTTTCTTTTTTAGTGGTTTCCAGTGTGATGTGCCTGACTTCCAGTGACATTTCAAAGATCACATGTCTGCTTGTGTGTACATACACTGATACTTACTTACAAAGGCAAATGGCTCTTGCCCTCTTTAGCCAGCACCCATATCTAAAGGCTTGCCTGACTCATGTGTGTTACAATATGGGAGGACAGTGATACTGATACTAGTCCCAAGAATAGTCATAAAAGAAGAAAAGGGCTGGGCGGGTGTCATCTTAACAATGAGAGCTGTGTCCAAGAAGTTTGTCAGCATTGCAGAAGATCCTCTTTTCTGTCACTCACTGTGGTGATTCATGGAATAACAAGAATAACAAATACGGAAGGTGTTTCTACTGAGTAACTGTTTCACTTTAGCTCAGAATGGAGAAATTGCTGACTAATAACTCATTTTCGATTGAAGCTTTGGGTCATCGTGCATTTTAAGAAAAGGGTACGTGTGGAAAACAGCTGCTGATGGTCAGGAGGAGAGTTTTCTCTGCCATTTTCAGTTCAGGTTGAGATTTCACAGATAATAAAGACACACTATATAATAATCTAAATCACTTTATTAATTTAAGTTAGAGAGACACTAAACATTGGAACCACATTTGCTCTGCTATGGAGCAGTCTTCAGAAAAATTACAAAAAAAAAAAAAAAAAAAAAAAAAAAAAAAAGGCTTATGTCATACTGTCAAAATAAAAAATGGCAAAAATTAAGAGGTAGAGAATTTAGGCTCATCACTGTGACTGGAGGAATGACGCCTATTGGAATGTAGTTGAAATTCAAAAACTCTTTGTCGTCCCAAAGGTATATAAAATATTCATAAACCAAATATTGTGGAGACAGTCATTTTGGGATACTGGGGTATTCACAACATTTAAACATTTACATTTCACTTTAACTGTACAAGGTGGACAATGGACAGGAGAATTAAAGTGTTACTTTGGAAAGAATAATGGAAAGCTAATGTCTTTAATACATTTCCCTCAACCACACATCAGTGTTGGGACAGCGGTTCGCCTGGAGTTACAGCCTTTGTCAGGTTTTTTTTCTTTTTTTCTTCTTTTTTTCCTTTTTTCTTCTCCTTTTTTAAACAAATGATAGCAGTAACATAAATTTACAATATAAACACCACAGATCCTGAAAATAAAGACAAATGAGAGAAATAAAAAAAAAAAATAAAAAAAAATGTATTTCCTCTCGGTTTCTCCCATAGCAGTACATTCTGAATGTGTCAGACATGCTAGTTCAACCAAGGACATCGAGTCCCTCGTCCACTTTTCATTTGAGAGGCCAGTCAATACAGACCTGAAATAATAGGACCATTAAGGGACACTGTTGAGTCTCATTACACTGGAAACTCCTGCGAAGATTTAAGTCAGCCACAATCTGGCAATTAAATGTCCCATTTGGAATGCGTAGACTTCATTATTAACATATGCTACATGTCTGTAACTTGAGTATTTAACAAATACAAAATATGGTAAAGTTTTATTGTGAAATATTTCTTATTTTATTTTCAATGGCACAAGCTATAATGTGTTGAGCTGTGTAAGCTGCAAACCAATTTCCTGACTGGCTGAGAAAGAGCCTCTGTGCGGGGAGAGGTTGGGTAGTTTTGACTTGAACCTTCCTACACAGAGAATGCTGGCAGTGTAGAGAAAAAATCTGAAATTACAGTGCATGTCTACAAAAATAAAATAAAAGTGAAAAAAAAAAAAAAAAAAAATTTTTACTGTTTGTACAGTAACATACTGTATATTTCCACAATGACACTAGATAAGGCTGGTGACTACATTATGTAAATAGTTAATTATTGGATATCTTTTCTGTATGATTTCAAAACTAGTGACATAGTATATAGATGTTGGTTTCTTTAAACAAACTTTAAAAAAAAAAAAAAAAAAGTAAAAAAAATAAAATAAAAAGACAAAGTCAAATAAATCCTTTGTGTAGTACACAGCTTTCTTTGTTCCAGAGGAACAATATGGTAAACCTTTGCATTTGCTCAATGCAAGTGCACCAGTCTAGATTCAGTCTTTTCTTTCTTCTTTCTTCCCCCATTTTTATCCTCAGTGGGAGTTTCCTCATGCTTGCAGGTTTATGTGCCCCTGTTCGTGTTGCAAACAGCGCCCCCTAGATTCCATTCTTTGCCTCATTGTTGTTCATGGCCTCCTTTCTTTGAGCTAGGAAGGGGTACATGCACTTGTCGGCGCCTAGGAACCGGTACATGCACACAATGGCCTCGAAGGGCAGGATGCTGCGAAGACAGGACAGGACATTAGATTAGTGACACAAGATCCTCCTGAGCAGTTTACTGAGAGCTGATGGAGGGAGAGAAAAAAAAAAAAACTGAATTGAGGGGACAAAAATGAGGAAAACGGGATATTAGCACATAGGAGGCAGCTCACCTTTTCATGAAGTTGACCATATAGACGATGCGAGGTGTACAGATCATGGGCTGGTCGGTGAGGATAGCCCTCATGGCCTGTTTAACGCAGAACTCTGGCTTCAAGGGAGGCAGGAAAGGCTCAATCTCCTTCCTGAATGGAGAGAAAAATACCACAGTTTGGTTACTGACGGGCCGAAAATCCATACAAATTGAAGGCTGATTTACTAAAAACAGATTTTCAGTTTGTACGGAAGTAAAGTTATATTGGAAATCGCTCAGGAACCGGAGTGGAATGGAGTGGGCTTTCAGGAAGTTGAGACTTTACTTTTGCTGAATTTATTTAAAGACATTGAACTACACATTAAAGAGTGAGAATTACAACTAGCTTTAGTCAGTTATGAATGACTGGTTAAAAAGGTTGTCAGCAGTGATTGCTCCAAAGTGCTAGGACAGTAAAGACAGGGGGAAATGCCACCTGCCGACTGTAACCGTCAAACAAAGTGAGGACTATTAGAGAAGCCGGGGGGTGGTGGGGGTAGAGTGCGTGGGGGTGGCGTGGGGGTAGGGGGGGGGTTGTTTCAGTCCAGGTGCACCTGTTGGGGAGGTTTTCCCCTGGGAAAGTCGCCCTCTTTGTTTAAGCAGAGCGCTGACCAGCGCAATACAAGTGACTTTATAATGTGTGTGTAACGAAACACAAACCCATCAGCTGCTGCTTTGAAGTTAAAAAAAAAAAAAAAAAAAAAAAAAAAAAAAGGTGTTTGTGAGGCAATTTCATACGGCGAAAATTACAGATGACAAACTCATCCCAGGTGCAAGATCACTTTTAAAGAAGAACTGTGCGTACAAACACGATTACAGCGGGCGGGCGTGCATTGGCGCTAACCTTATCCTGCAGCCTTTGAACATCCCCGTGTCGACCAGGTAAGGGCACACCAGAGTCATGTTGATGCCGTCCTTCTCCGAGGCCTTCAGCTCATGGCTCAGCGACTCGTGGAAACCAATGGCACCGAACTTACTGGCGCAGTAATCCTGGAGGGAAAAAAAAAGAAAAAAAAAAAAAAAAAAAGAGAGAGAACAGGTTACTCCTGTAAAACTCTGCCCCTGCCCGCACCCAGGAACATTATCAAACATGCCCCATGGGCACAGAGGTCTCTCCTTGCTGTTAATGATACAGCCACAAAAACCCGAGCGAGCCTGTCCGCTGTTCTACAGTTTCATTAGCATTCTTCTCCTGTGCATCAGGAGACTGCTCGGCTTGGTGGGAAGTTTTTGATGTGGTTCGCCGTGGAAGTAATCGTTTTTTTTTGTTTGTTTTTTTTTTTTTAAATTAAAAAAAAAAAAAAAGAAAAGAAAAAGAAAAAAGGAGGCCTGAGCAAACACAGATGCATGTCGATAAACGTGGGCAGGATAAAGAGGATTTGACTGTGCCCACATGACAAGCGAGGGCTTTGGTTCCCTGAAATTAATGTGCACGTCTGAAATCCCATTCAAGGCATTTCCAGGAAGCATAATAGTTTAACAAAAACTGACTACACTTCAGTCCCTTTGAAGGAGGACTTGATCATTATGGATGAATGCTTTTACAACAAAAGCAAACGTGCAGCTATAAAAACAAAGGCAAATGGAGTAGTGGTCCCTGCAGACTGTCTGAAAATGACACCGTTCTCAGCCAAGGAGATAAATGAGATCTCTGTTCTCTGAAATAGCCAAATAAAAACCTTCTAGGAGGGCTACCAGTGTACTCTCTCTGTGACTATGGAGATAAACGACTTCACTAAATATTTTAATCTGAATTAAAATAACTAAAAGAATCTATACTGGGCAAGAAGAATTTAAGAAAAAAACAAAACAAAAAAAAACTATAGGAAGGAAAACCAAAACTTTATCCGATGAAAGCTGCTGTGAGCTGAATACTGAGTGAGCACCAAGTTGTTCACAAAGCAGTGATGAAGATGTCTCTGTCCCTTGGGGAGCTGTCAGCTCATTCTGGCCCTGGGGCCAGAGCCCAATAGGGGCCCCACACCCCCACTGCTGCAGATAGAGGAATCTATAAGAGGCTCCCCAATGCTCATCTGTGTCCCTTAATTTAACGGGTGGAGGGACAACTAGAGAAAGGGGGCCTAACCTCCCCCAGCTCAGTGTGCTAGCTGGCATGCTGATGGTTTTGGAGAAAAGCACTGGTTTTTTGATGGTGGGAACGATGGGATGTGTATGTGTTGTTGTGTATGATACTAACCTCCACTCCAGCTGTGCTGAATAAACCCAGAGAGCTGGCAACCGTCACAATGTGACCATGATTCAGCTCCAGCATCTTGGGGAGAAACGCCTTGGTGGTCTGAGGGAAGGACAGAAGAGACAGAAGGGCAAAGAAGAAAAAAAAGAGGAAGGTTAGTTCACTTGTGCAGTTTGTCTGTGCCAAAGCCCTTTGATCCTCTCTGCCTCCCTCTCGTTCCCCCATCTGTTTCTCCCTCTTCTCCATGGTGATGCAGAGAGAGGCGTCTGAATGAGAATTCATAACAGGCAACAAAAAAAAAAAAAAAAAAAAAAAAAAAAAAAAAAAAAAAAGACTTGGAGGTGCAGCATTTAAATCTATACTATTTATTTATACTATTAACAATTTAAGTTCCCCCCCCCCTTTGTGGCAGGTGTGAATAAGTTAGAAGAGAAGAGAAGGATGAGGGTTTCCCCTCTACAGGTAGTCAGTGTGTGCGTGCTGCTGCTGTACAATCTGTTCTTTTCCCACACAGATCTGGTACCCGTCGTCGGGCCCGGCTCTAAAGAGTTGGTGACAACACCAATCATAGGCCTCCGTTCACTCAACGCTTCCAACAATACAATTCAGCCTATCGTCTAACCCGCACAGCCTTGCGCCCTGCCCGAGCAGCAGTCAGCGGAACAATATGGAGCGGGACGAGGTCTGAGATGAAAGAGTGTCACCGTCGTGCCACGTGAGAGCCTGAGTGGTTCCACCGGCCCGTCCAATGAGAAGTTATTGAGGTGGTGAGAAGAGCGACACCGGGAGGGGGGGGGGGGGAGAGATTCGGAGAAAGAGACTTCAGCGGTTTCAGTTGATTAACCTATGGATCCATTCCTCATTCTGCCAGTCTGCCGTCTTTGGAGCTGCCCTGGACACAGCATGAGCCAATCAGCAGGTGTGACATGTGACGGCACTGATAGGAACTGACCAATCGCTCTCCCACCGGGAGGTCCACAAACAACCGGCAGGCCTTTTGTTCGTAGCAGAACTAGATCTATTCAAGTCACATGTGTGCTGCCATAGTGACAAACAATACGTATAGCCCACAACACTCTTTATATGTCAGAGGTTACAAAACACTGAGGGCACCTTTAGTTTATAACACGAGATTCCCAACAGTGCTGAAACAATTAGTTGATAAATTGATTATAGTATGTGAACAGAGAATTCATCAATGCCAATTTTAACAAATAAAAAAAAAAACTCATCTTTTGCTGGTTATATTATATTATATATCACTTTGGGTTTTGGAAAATTGGGGTTAGCATTTGTTATGACGTTTGACAGTTTCATTCCTAGTTTCCAATCATTTTGTGGTTATATAAAAGGAAAAGGTAACAGTTTCATTGCTTGGTACAGTGTGTAAGTCTAGCCAGAGAAATGATTCAGCCTCCTTTGTAAACATTTGCTTGAGGGAAGCACAGAGCCAGAAAGAGCATGGTACCAGGTAGTACAGCCATGAAACCACTGGCAGGGGAGGAAAAGCCTCATTAAAACTGCGCCCAGAGATTAACTGCATCAGACCTACTGACTTCTAGTGGAACCTCCGTTAAGCTTTTACATCTTTCTCCTCGTTTTGTGAGATAAATGGAAGTGGAAGCAATAAGTCAAATCTACGCAGAGAAAAGGCTGGGTTAAGGAAGATGACTTCATCGTGATGGAGTTTATTCTATAGCCAGGTACAGTATAACTGATCTGACTCAGCTCCAAACATCTGCGCTTTTCCAGGATATAAATTTTGAAGCTGCTGCAATGTTCAACTCATCGAATGATGGGGCCCAAAGAGAGGGAGAGCGAAAAGAACACGAGGCCTCCGCGAGCCAGAATGGCAGTGGGATGAGGGAGGGAGTTGCGTGCAAATGAAGCATTAACTTAAGATATGCCCATACCTGACTTGAGCCAAAGTTTCCCACTCCCACAGCAACTTTCAGGGAGCAGGGAACGACTTGATCTGGCCCAATATTCTACGACTAAAGCCAACACTCAGATTCAACCGGACAATTTTGCTGAGTGGTCTGAAAATAACTGGAACTGATGGGGGGGAGAAAAAAAAAAAAAAAAAAGGCTGATTCCCTCAGCTGGAGGACGGGGCTAAACGTGACCAACCGTCCCTTCTCTCTCCCACCCTCCAGTGATGTCCCGCTTCTCATGGCAGCTCTGGCATGTGGGTATGACCCCCGCTGACCTCTCAGACACAAAATGTGTGAAGGCAACCAGGGGCTCGTGTCTTACATCAGAGCTGCCGTAATTGGGTCTCAACGCTCCCTTGTTACGCTAAATTACCCGCTGACACAGCCGGGCCTCCTTGGCCTATGTGGGGGTGCCCTGCCCGCTGCACCCCCTAATTGGTGTGTGCCCCCAGGAGCATTTAAGCCATACAAAGCTTCATGCAGCTGGGGTGTCAGGCTGTATTAGTGCTAGCATCTGACCAACAGGAATATGAACAAAATATTGGCCTTTGCATAGGACCAGATGGCCATTTAATTGGGCTGACTTCTCCCCAGACAAGAGAACGAAGGAGAGAGAGAAAACGCCTGAGCTCAAGAGCTCGTCTGATCCTACAACAGATCATGGAATTTGAGTGGGTTGGGTTTAGTAGTCATCAGGGACGACGGATGCAGATTGGTCATGTTGCGGTGGCCACGCAGTGAGCCACTGCTACAGTTGACTAAACCGCAACCCCCCCCCCCCGCTGGTTGTGAAACTAGCATCCAATTTACCTAGAAAGCAACATCAATAGTCCAGGGAGGGAGTAGGATCAATGTGCCTCAAACACCACCAGTCCCATGATACAATTAACGAGTCACACAAAGTCATAGAAAAGAGAGTCAAACAAAAAAACTAGTTCCAGCTAGCTTATTGCTATTTGGTCACAGAACAAAAAAAAAAAAAAACACTCACAGATTAAAGTCCTCAGGCAATCAGACCTTGGCCACTGGAACTCAGGCTTGTGAATGTTTTACTTGAAGAGCTTATAATAGCAGAGACCTGTATTACTCAAGAGTCAATTTTTTTTATATGAATTTTAAATGAAGTCTATTGAATGTATCTGACTGACTTTAACCCATTTTTTAAAAAAAAAAAGTGTTACACAAATAGCAGCTCTGTGTCTATAATAGCTGTTGATGAATGTGGTAATAGTTGCTGACTGTCATAAGATCCTAAACTAACCTTGGACCTAAATGACAAGATGAATAAATGTTGGAATTTTGGATTTTTGAGTTTTCTTAGATCTTATGTCCCTGTTTTATGAAATCTATCACATTTTGAACTGGAAGACAGCAAACTACATTTGATAATTGATCAATTCTTTAAGTAATTTTTTTTTTTTTTTTTTTTTAAGCAAAAAATCCAAACATTCCTGACTCCAGCCTCTCAGATGTGAGGACGTGATGCCGTTCTTCGCCTGCCTTACTGAATCGTTCTGTTTTAAACAGTTTGTCGGATAAAACAAGACAATAATAAGCCATCAACTCATTCTCTAGGGAATTATAATGGGGATTTTTCACTATATAAAAATAGTAATAACAAAAAAAAAAAAAACAAGATGATCAAGAGGGAAAATGAGAAGAAGAAGGTGCAGTGCCAATTCCATCCCTTGATATACAACAGGTACGTGCTAAGGGAGAGACCCAACATGGGAGTAGTCATGGCTCGCTCCACTGAGGGGTACAGGTGCACCAGGCCTGAGGAGGGGCCCGTATAAAACCAGTCAAGTAGGACCCTTCTGCCTGGCTGCCTCCTTTCTCTGGCTACAGCAGGAATGCAGCCTGCGGAACTTGGCTCCTGTCGCCTGGCATCTTGTCAAGCTGATCCACAGACAAGAAACCAATTGTCAGATAAAGTGGGTCAGCAGCAGCTTACCATTACCCTCTCGCCTCGCCTGTGGATGGGACGGCACTGCCTTCCTTCCCCTTTTCTTTCCTCTGCTCTTTTCCCGCCATGTCACTGTCGAGCGCTCGGCGCTTTCATGTCTTCGCGCAAGAGGTTGGATTTCCACAAGAGGGGGAACTACTGCTTATTGTTCATAAACCACCTGTTGGATAACCAGCTCAAGATGCTGAGGATGATTTCCTTTCATGTCATTCCACAAGACACACACTAATCCTCAAACAAACTGTGGTGACACTTAGTGTAAATTACTTCACATTCCCCATCCCGGCATGACTAAAAACTGAGCCTCAAACATCACAAATTGCCAGCTGGACTAATCAAAGCATCATCAGACAAATTCAATGTGATGACCCCCTGCCTCATAAAAACCTAAAGGGAGTGAGGGATTGAATCATATTTTGTGTGTGCGTGTGTGTGTGTGTGTGTGTGTGTGTGTGTGGCAGAGCCGGATGAACAGAGCTGGCCTCCATGACTCCAATGCAGCTGCACCCACTGCCTCCAAATCAGGTTGGGAGGAGTCAGAGGGGCCTGTGGAAGGAGGACCGAAGTAGTGTGGGTTCTGAGCTGGGCTGGTCTGGCAGACATGCGCTACGATTACCATTCGTTTCCTGCACGTCTCCATCACTGCCCTATTCCCACCACACTGTCCAACAAATGAAAAACGTACACAAAATAATAAAAAAGAAAAAAAAAAAAAAATCTTCTTGTTCTTAGTCTGGACTCTGGCTTTCCTTTTGCTTATTTTAAACTCAGTGGTGCATTTTAAATTAAGGAAGTTTTGAACCTGCTGTCATGTTGCTCTTGAGAAAACTGGTTGTTTGGGAAATTTCATTAACTGGCTGGGATTACGGCTGGGCGGAGGCCGAGAAGTTTTGTTGCTTGACAATGCTTCTCTGATGTCTCCCTGAATGGCCAAAAATCATTGTGATGTTTTGCCAAAATAGTGACGCTGGACGAGCTGAATAAGATGAATACACCAAAGAAGAATGCATCCCAAGCTATTTATGTCCACTGCTGAAGCATTGAAAATGTAGGAAATGAAAAGCTTAACAGCAGCATAAAGAATGGTGAAGCAAGCAAACTTGCAGAGCCGCCTCTGAAAATTGAAATGACAAGGCCTGAATGAGTTTCCAATTTAACCTCTGTCAAACAGCGTTCTGTCAAAGAGCACGAAAAGCAGCTAACGGTTTAAAATCCACTTCAGACTTTGCATGACTAAACTGTGGGTATTTGTTGAGTCATAAACCACAATTAAGTGATTTTAAAAACCTGTTGTTCAAGAAAAGTGGGGGGGGGGCGGGGGGGGGGGGCAAAAATCAAAGGTTTGTGTAACGCACCACCTGCATGCGGTGAGTAACTGTACCGTGTTTATGTAAGAGAGGAAAGTGGACAGGTCCCTGTTAGTCTAAGCTCTATTCATCTAGCTTGTGTCTTTAATGAACCACATCCTCCATATTGGCCATTCATTAAGTACTTCTTTCACCGAACCCCCCCCCACCCCTTTCCCTGAAGAAACCACACTCTCCACAGAATAGAACACAGACCTCTATTAAGAATCCCAAATCTGCCACCCAACCACTGGATACTGACTCCAAATCCTAGATGTAAAAGAACGTGTAGATGGCCAGCAGAGAGGCACATGAATAGTTGAATGGAGCGTCCATTAAGGCGGAAATACACAACCTGTGTGTGGCTGACGACACAAGAGATTTTCATGCTCAATTAGTGAGCTTCAAATCACTGCGGTTTCATGGTATCATAGAGAATGCAGTTCTCTATGAAAAAAAAAAAAAAAAAAAAAAAAAAAAAAAAAGAAAAGCCTGCAGCCAAAGTCTCAAAATGAGCATCATCCGCTTCACTTGACGCATTGCTTAATATATTGTGACAAATACAATCACAGACAAAATGGTCAATTCAGAGCCATGCAGCTAGGTAAAAGGACACATTCCCAATCCTTGCAATTTACTCCACAGCAAGCCTCTAAACCAATTTATGCACAATCACTACGACTGTCCTGAAAAAGGTGGCTGTAGCCAAGCAGTGCAATCAATTCTCATTACTGGTTTATTTGGGATTGGAAGAGAGGGGCCTAAATACTTAACACCCAGCTCTGAAGCCCACCAGTGAGGTTGCTCTTCTCAATGGATTTCTAATTGCTGTGGCAGGCTGCAATCATTGTCTTTCCACACCCCCAAAAGCACACACACACACACACACACACACTAACACAAGAAGCTGTGATAGCACATGGCCTGGTTTAACACTGCAGCATATGCTTATCTAAAAGTGCAACATATTCACTCCAGCAAGTCCACGTAGCCTTTCAGATAAGTATTCACACTGAAAAGGGCCAAGGAACAGCGCCAGAGCAAAATCTGATACACAACAAATCACCCCCTGCCAACAAAATGTGGTGAGCTGATCTGAGACAGATCCAACCCACGTACAGAGCCCCCCCCCCTCGCCCGCTTCCATCGCGGAAGTCAGATTTGTGCAGATCTGTGCGAGCAAAAGAGAGGAAGAATGAAGGTCTGACATACCGCGGGGATCATCACTGATTGGGGCTGCTAAAGAGCAGCAAAGGCGAGACTTAGAAAGCCAAACCCGTGACTTTCCTCTGGCAGAATTACACTAAGCGGAGCTGAAATCTGAACACGCAAGGCAACTATTTATGGTCATATTTTCTCGATCCTTGGGGGGAACACAGACAAACACACACACACACACACACACACACACACACGCCCCCCTTCGACTCCTGAGTTTGGCACACAGAAGGATAAGATTATGAATAGGCATGCAAGTCAGACTGGAAACATTCCTGTGAACCTGCCATCAAAGTAAACACATCTGATAACACTGTGCTCATGGAAACCGAGGCAGTAATATCAAACCATCATACTGCAAGTCTAATATCTTATATCCACGTTCAACTCAAATTACTCTGAGTTTAACTCTTTTCTGCTAAGTTGCTCGTGCTTTCACTCACCCAGAAGTGTGCGTGGCAGTTGACCACCATGGTGCGCTCGATCAGCTCATCGGGGCACTCCAGGAGGTGATGGCCAGAAACCACACCGGCATTGTTGATCAGTATGTCCACCTCTCCCACCTCCCGACGCACCTTCTCGGCCGTAGAATACACACTCTCCCGCTTCCCCACATCACACACATAGGTGTAGACCTGTGGCTGAAAAGGGGGGACCTCCTCCACCCCTCCAACAGGTCCTGCAGGGGGGAAAGAGATGGAAACAAGCGTTAAAATGGATCAATGAAAAAATTTGTTATTGTTAGGCTATCAATAAATCTGAATTATTAAGTAAAATTAGATGGACATTTAAAAATAGTAATGCTTTTGTTAGTTTACAGATTACTCTGTCACTTTAGAGTTTGGTGTCCAACAGAGTAAGAGAGACCTAAACAAGTAGTGTTTGAGAATCTGAGATTGTGTGCTAAGGCGTTGCAAACACGTCTTGCCATGTGAAACATTCAACATGACAAACTCACCGTTTCTTGAAAGACTACGGTAACACTGTGCCTTGCATCCTTGAAATAGGCTATAATTTGCCACCGTAGGAACAAAACAGTGTGATTTAAGTCAAGCGATTTCGCAGACCGTGCGTAAAACCTGATGACATCCTAATTGCTGCAAAACAAACAAACAAAAAAAAAGCAGACTTACCGTCTTTGGTTATGGGAGTGTCCAACTCATGGTAAATCTGCCGCACCATCTCCGCCGTTTCCTCATTGCTTTGGCTGTTTATGTCCCATAACACCAGTATCGCTCGTCTCCGGGCGAACTCCTTGGCGAAGAGTCGCCCGAGGCCGCTTCCAGCCCCGGTGATCACGCACACCTGTCCCGCCACGCTCTTCTCCTTGGGCCGCACAACCCACTTAGCCCCGGCAGTTACAAAAGCCCATAGCACTTTCAAAATGACCACGAAGAACTCCGCAATAATTATCATCATCTTGACCAAGCTTTCAATCAATTCAAGTAAGCAGCAGAAGACGCGCAGGGACTGGTTCCCTCTTGTAACCTGTTTGCAGCAGATAAGTCGGGTTAAACCGACCAACTTGGTTCACAGTGCAGGCAGGAGACGCTTACAACGCTTACACACCAAAGTAGCGAAAAAGGCGCAAACAGGACCACAAGTTAAGAGTGAAAACTAGAGAGTTCAGATGCTGCTCAGTCAGAGTCCAGTTGCCACTAGAACGCACGGCTGCAGTGAATTATGAGCAGCTACTATGGACTGTTCCTCCTACTTCCTCTGCTTCCTCCACTCATCTCATCCTCAACCGCATCTCACTCGCTATTTATTCAGTCCACCCATCAGTGCTGGACCCAATAGGACTAGGACTTGAGCGCCAGTTAGAATAAAGCGCCGGCTCCATACACTACACTCAGAGGTGATGTAACCTGGAGGATTTTACTTAACTCTAATCTGTTGCGATTTTTTTTTCCAATTCACTATCCCAGTGGAAGATCGGAGATCAGGCTTTCATACACTTTAAAAGCTGGTGCCTCTTCCTGTGTGGGCTTTTGCTCTTTTAAAAGCAAAAGTTATTTGTAATAGGAAAATGTGCTTTACATCTGACAGATATACAAAGAACAATGTCAGATTAAATATCCTGTCGGTTTTGGTTTATTTCACTTTCATTTTTATTCGAGTGATTTTGTTTTCATGTTTAAATCTGTTTTATTATTAATAGGATTGGGATTAGGATTTTCAGGAACATTTAAAGTAATTGGATGAGTTTTTCAATGTCGAGGTTTTCCAACACAGTAAAAGCAGATTTCCAGCCACAGATCAGGACATATCTCGCAAGTCCAGGTCAACGTCCGCCCATACATGGAACAAGAAAAACTATCGTTATTCATTGAAAAATATACAGACTATGTCGTGTTTTTGATGATATCTACTGAATTTAAATCAGAAGTTATCTCAGTCACATTACAACTATTTACTGGCAATGATCCACTGCGATCTCCTCATTGAGGAAAGTGAGAGCAGATCGATAAGGTGGGCTACGTTCACAGACACACGAAAAAAAAAAAAAAAGAAATAGCAACCCATACATATGTCTATGCGCAAATACACTACATATATTGTTTTTCTGCCTAATGAAGGTGATTATGAGAGCCCAAATTTAAGAAAAAACAAATAACGTATAGACAGACATGCATTCTACAAGAGCATATGCACCTGAGATGCATTTTACACCATTTTTTATTATTTAAAGTACGAATTATGCAACGTCTTGCAGCAGCCTTTGTCATGTGTTTGTCCGTGTTTTGTGGGCGTGTCTAAGGGGGGCAAACCAATGGTGGAAGAATTTTTAGGTCGTTCACTAATGTAGGCTACTACCAAAGTTACCTCAGAAAAATGTATAAACAAAGTATTAACATCAACATCTATATAAAAGCAAAAGTATTTTTTTACCTATTCTGAAGTTTCCTCACAGTAGCCTACTTACCCACACTTATGGGTAGGTCTATTACCGGTCAATAAACTGATATGCTTTACATGCAAAACATATATAGGCCTATATTGGAATAAGATTTTGCAAACACGAGAAAAATGAGCACTAAAATTAAAAATACTAAGGTAAGGTAACAGTGTGGCAAAACTGTATTTAGGCCTCACTTTTGAATCAAATTAAATGTGCATCTTTGACAGATATATGGCCTTTAAAGCCGGTCTACCACATATTATTTCTCGTTTTCATAACCTTACTGTTCATCACGCTGCCTGCTTTTAACAACATGAAATAGACAAGGTGTTTTTTCCCCACTGAGATCCAGGGGATCCAGCGGAGAGGTCAGCAAAGGAATCTTTCTCCTACACACGCTCTTTCAGCTTGGCCTGCAAAGTGAAGCGTTTGCTCCCTCTGCCGGATCAGCGAGTGCATAACCATCAACTGTGGTATGGACATTGGAAAGGTTAGCGTATCAAACGTGCATTAAAAAAAAATATTTTCATAACAATAACAAATCTGTGGAAAAATATGAACATGAATGACAGAATGAACAGTTTAAAGGTATAACGTTAACTTTACAGCGTTGTTGAACCTGTATTACCACTATCCAAATAAAACAAATTCAAAATTTACCGAGATATGACACTGTAAATTTAGGGGTAATTGAACCAACATTATTTCAAGAGAGCAATACAGTCACTTGATACCATATTTTATCAAAATACGGAAACATTTACTTTAGAAAAGACTTGTTGGCATGCTAAAGACACTCACAAGTCAGGCAGCTAGAAGGACAGTCCGTGGAGGTCCTAAATCTTTTAATGCGCACATGCGCAAAAGAAAAATTCTCTTTCTCGGTGGGCGCAATGGCGGACGCAGAGTGAGTGTTTGCCGCTGTATCAAAATCTAAGCACATCCAACCTTAAAATGGTTATCTTTGCTAATTTTACATCCTTGATAGATTGTTTAGTTTATATATATCATAATCCTGCTAATATTGTTTAGGATTGTGATTATTACTGTTTTTATACATACTTCATGCCGACTATGTGTAGTCAGATGATAGAGTACAACATGGCTGTCTCTGTAGCCCTCATGCACCTAATAAGTAGCTATTTCTACGCTAATAGTGAGAACAAAGTTAGGAATTGACTGCTAAATGTTCGTCGATTTCTATGTTGCCTTTATTGCTACCTAGACATGTAGGCTGATGTTCAAAAAAACAACAAACCTGTATGGAAGCCGGTTAAAGACAGGTTAGCAAGCTAACAGCTACGGAGCGCAATGATGACACGTTTCAGTTCAGCAAGTGAAATGTGTGCTTGGATGATATTGTCTTTGTGTTTACTAAAGGGTCATTGTTACTTTTAACCATTTCAACAGAAAAAAAGTTCCCGCGGTCCCTGAGAGCCTTTTGAAAAGGCGAAAGGCCTTCGCCACCATGAAGGCCATGCGTGTCAAGAAGATACTGGCTGAGAAGAAGGTAATTTTAAAGCTGCACATTCGAAGAACTCATGTTTGACTCCCGGATGTTTTTATGGCCGAACATATCAGTTTGACCATCCCTTGTCCTTGCTCTGACTGAGGATGTATTTCTGATGTGATCACAGGCCCGCAAAGTGACCAGGAAGCTGATCTACAAGAGGGCTGAGAAGTACCACAAGGAGTACAGGCAGATGTACAGGCGTGAAATCCGCCTTGCCCGTACTGCTCGCAAAGTAGGAAACTACTATGTACCAGCTGAACCCAAACTGGCCTATGTCATCAGGATCAGAGGGTGAGTAGAGTTTATCCGGCAGTAGAACTGTCCCAGTTGTCAGACAACATGGTCTTTAACATTTACATGGATTGCTAGACAAATTCTAATCAAGCTGTTGTATAGACTGGGGAAAACTTCATGTTTCTGCTCACGGCTTGTGTTGCATGCCAAGGGATTGGAAACTTATCATAACCAAGTCAGGTTTTCCTATAGTATTCAGTCTTTTAGTGAGAAGTTCATCCCAAACTCCTGTTGCTACTGTGGCCACACCTTGCAAGCTAGATTTCAAATAGCTTTCTGAAACTGCTCTTTATTTAGTGAAATTCGAGTACATCAATTGCATCAATTTAGCATCTAAAGGCAGCATCAATGATGTATGTAAGTTAAGGAAACTCTTTGGGTGCAGGGTGTTTAGAAGGCAAGTCCATTCAGTAATGCCTAAATGTGATTAATAAAGTAATCCATGTAAATGTTGTGCTTCAACTTGTGTGGTTGATGATGTACACTCTTTCCCCGACTTATCGACTATGGTGAAACAGATGTTTTAATAAGCCAATTATAGTCTGAAACCACAAACAATGCTGTAATTTGAAAAAGCTTGACCCTGCTGTTAAACCGCATGCTAATGAAAATCCTCATTTGTTTTCCCAGTATTAACGGCGTCAGCCCCAAGGTCCGCAAAGTTCTGCAGCTGCTCCGTCTGCGCCAGATCTTCAATGGTGTGTTCGTCAAGCTGAACAAGGCTTCTATCAATATGCTCCGGATTGCTGAGCCTTACATCGCTTGGGGGTAAGCCTGTTCTTATTGTTAAATATAACTAAAGAATATATATATATATTCTCATCCAGAGTCTGTCTACAAACAGGAATATTATTGCTAAGCAAAGAATATTGGTGTTGAGTTAAACTTCTAAGGAGATGCTTGTCTGGAATGTGGTTAATGATGCTCAACTTTTTTCCCCATCATATCGACCATGGTGAATACTGACTGATACTAAGCCAGTTTTGTCTGAAACCACATTACATGACTTGACAGTAGTTGACAAATGTGCAGTAATTGCACATCTGTATTTTTGACAACATATTAAGTTTTGCTCTGATGTTGGATTATTCATGTGAACATATTTAATGGTGTGGATTTCTTGATGGTGGCGAAACGGTTTTGATAAGGACTGTAATATCAATTCTTTACATGAAGAACAGTCTCAATGTCACTTTGTATATGCTTTTTTTTAATTTTGAACCCATAAAGAATATTATAACCATTTATGTAATGCACTCAATGCTGTTATTTTGACTTCACTCACTGTCTTGCTTTTGTGTATCCATAAGCCTTTAGTCTCTATAATTACATCATTAGATCCAATCTGTCTGAGTGTGGTGAGAGCACCACAGTGCAGTTGGTTGGACATGCTCCCTACTGCCATTGATATAGTGATTGGGTTTGTCTGTCTGGCTACATCTGAGTGATGATGCCAGTACCAGATAACTTCATAGTTTTAGTAAATATCCACCATCATAATATGTAGTAGTTCAGTGGCACTTTTGGTATCGTTTGGTGAAACACATGATAAATATAATACTTGGCATTGTATCATCTGAAGTTGTTCACCAGCTCTGGTTTGAACCCGTGTTCACACTCAAACTGCTGTACTGCTCTGGTGCTGCATGATTTCAGGCAATAAGATGAGCTCTTACTAAGGATAGGTTTTTCCTTAATTTATATAGAAATAATCATACACACAATATCAATGCTTATTTTTTTTCTTATCTGTTCTAACATAGTTGGAGTATATTATATAAATTTGAGGACAAAATGAGAAAGTATAAATTCTCTAATCGTGCTGGAAAGATATTACCCATATGAAATGCTTATGTTGTTGTGAACTAAATAGTTTTTACTGTTTTGGGCTCATTTCATAATGTTTGACCTACTGCCCCCCCAGATACCCCAACCTGAAGTCTGTGCGTGAGCTCATCTACAAACGTGGCCATGGCAGAATGAGGAAACAGCGCATTGCCCTCACAGACAACGCTCTGGTGGAGAAGGCTCTCGGTATGTCATTTTACCACTTACTTAAAAAAATTTTTTTTTAAAAAGTCTATGTAGCAGTGTTGAGATGAAGATACCTGATGTATCTTCTTCAAGACTATTATTCAACAAGAGTATTATTCCTCAGGGAGTAATAACAGGTAACAGGGTTTGCTTTCTCTCTGGGCTTGTTAATTTTATATAAGACAGTGGCTGTGTCTCAAGTTGTGTACTTCTGTACTCGATTATTAAGGTATAATTTTGTGTTACTAGTGCTATAAATATCAGTTTCAAAATCAGACTTGACTTTATGCACTGTTAGATTAAGGCTTACTGTTACATGTGGTTAATGATGCACACTTTTTTCCCCGTCTTATCGACCTTGGTGAGAAAACTGAAAACTAAGCCAGTTGTGTCTGAAACCACATGCCAGTCGAACCTTACAAATAGGATGTATTGTTTGTTATTGCTTTAGTTCAACCTCATTGGAACTTTGTTTCACAAGATTAAATGTTGCATGTCAACATTTAAGGGTCTGGCACACTTGGCCTGATAACTTCGTAGACATCTGAAATGTTGGGCTACAAAGAATTCGGTCTGGGTTAAATGTACCGTTATTTTGCTAGCCATTAAATCCAAAATTGCCCAAAACATTCAAGTTCAGACTTAGATTTTCTTAGTTGGTAATCATGTGTGGTATCAACTTTTCCCTTATGACTTGAGTTGACTTTTTTTTAAAGTAAAGGTAGTGGAGTGAAACATTTGTTGTGCAGTTAAAACATCGTTTTTTCATCTGCAGGCAAATACGGCATCATCTGTGTTGAGGACCTCATCCATGAGATTTACACAGTTGGAAAGAACTTCAAGCCCGCCAACAACTTCCTGTGGCCCTTCAAGCTGTCGTCACCCCGTGGTGGTATGAACAAGAAGACCACACACTTTGTGGAGGGAGGAGACGCTGGCAACAGGGAGGACCAGATCAACAGAATGATCAGGAGGATGAACTAAAGTTATGGTGAGTTGTAGGAACAGTTGCAGGTCTAAAAGTAGGTCTATGTCATTAGATGTGGTTAATGATGCATATTCTTTTTTCCCCATCTTATCGACTGTGGTGAAAAACAGCTGAAAATAAGCCAACAATGTCTGAAACCACATGTTAGCCTTTAAAACTTTAAATCACCCACTACAGATGCTTTACTCTGTGCAAGACACAGGTAACAAGCAATGTAAGGTCAAATCTAATTTGGTTCAAACTTTTTCAAAAGCTGATGAGATGCTTTTAAGTTATATGGCAATTATTTTTTTCAAAAGATCTGGAATAAAAGTGCCTAGTAAATTATTCATGTGAAGTTTGTCTAATTGTTTTTGTGTCTTTTTATTTTTCAGGTTTTCAAAGGACTCAAAAGTTGTACAATAAAAATGTGGGAAAAAAAAACTGCCTTGGTCTTGTCATTAATGTGATTGTGCCTTGAATGCATCAGTGTGCTATTTCGTGTATATATATATATATATATATATATAGTTGTCTACTTCCCCAGCAACTTTAATTTGGTAATTAGCATTGGTAACTATATATATTCTCAAGGGTATCAAAGCTAAGTGACACCTAAAATGACCAGGGAGTTGCCGACAGACAAATTATCAATGCTATATAAAGCATTGGTTTAGCATTGCCTGTAGATATAATGAAGCATAAATATAAAGGACACAAATGAATATAAAGGACATGAATTGTAAACTATGAAATTGTAGAAGGATTAACATATACCGAAACTAATCATGTTGAGTAATGTACAATAAAACCGCTAGTCTTCCGTATGATACAACTAGGTGAATATGAACTAGCTCTAGCCTATATTAACAGGACAAAGATCTTGTATTGAGCAAATTGTTTCGTGTAAATATAGCAAAACCACTGGTCCTTACTATGACTGAGACAGTGCAGTAAAGTGGAAAGCTAACTGACTAGCTGGCCGGTATGTAAAATAACGGCTCCAAGTACGTTGTTGGCAATTTTTATGAACCCTGTTTCCATGGTTACGCGGTGACTCGGTAGCGTTTACCACCTGGGATGACTGGTATGAACCAATCTACCGTTATCATGTCCAGGTGCCGTAGTTTTGCTCAATAACGAGGTTATGTCTAAAAGATGGTTGTATGGCAGTACCAACATGATGACTTTCCAGGTTAACGCATCTTTACCTACCGCAAAGGCTTTAATATCAGAGGGGAGCTCAAATTGCAGTCACCGCGGCCCTGATGCGGCTGGATATTCAACATACAGGAACTTCAGGATGGGAGCGGGTGGAGGACAAGCGGTTTTCAGGCAAAATGATCATATAAGGAGGAAATTTCCTGTGATACAACCCTTGAGCAGTGAGTAAGCGTGGTCCATGTATGTGCTCAATTCATTTAGATGCAGCTAGCATAACGATATGTCACAAGAATGCTGAACAGCGTTCATCTTTGTTCCAGAGTCCAGGGATGGGAAATCCTTGGTTAGCGACTACAGAATTGGAGGGTAAGATGTGTCAACATGTTTCCAAGAGCTAGAAATACCACTATATTCAGTAAATGTAAATTCCATCAGTAAACGTGGTACTTAATGGTTATGGTTGTTTTTTCTGCGCCGGCATGACGCCAGTATACCAAAAATTACAACCCTGCATGGGCAAAAATATCCATCCATCCTATAATGTATTTCTCAGAATATCAGCTTTTCTCTTGAGGCCTAGCTTCCCATCTCCATGATGTGTCAGTTTAAAATCCAGTTTCAGCTTCTGGATGTGGTAGGTGTTGCTCACAATAGGCTTTGCAACAACAACAAAAAAGAAAGAAGCAAGGTAGTTAAGTGGTTATACATAAAATAGTAATGGTATGACACTTCATAAAAGATGAAGAAGAAGAATAGCCGACAGAAATAATATGCTCTATGTGTCCACTCAGCCATTCCAGCACACACCTTCGAAAGGCATACACCTGTTTGAATATGTCTTCTGGTATGGCTGATAGTTTCTCTTTTTTCAAACCTTGTGTAGGTCACCTAACTTGGCCAAAGATGACAACATGCAATCAGAGAACACAGACCCAGAGGACATCAGTGGGAGACACTTTCTCTTTGATAAAAAGAGTAAGAATTACCCTTTCTTCGATACAGTTGAGAGGATATTGAGAAGCTTTTTTAATATATATTTTCTCACTCAGAAATGTACAGATCACATTTAACCTAAAAACTGAATTGTTTTTTTTTTTTTTTTTTTAAGAGGATACACATTGAATTTAATGCTTGTCTCTGGATTGTAACCTGACAGCCAGTAGATGGAGTTGTCATCATACATAATGAGCACAGGTCCTATTTCAGTGACTGCAAGTATAACGTTAGATACTTGAGAGCAACTTATGGATATTACTTCTTAAGTATTTTTTTGCTATATATCTCTTTGTTTTAAAATATTTTTTAACATCTCTTTTGAAAACTATTGTCCTCTCATCAGATGCTAGTTCTGAATGGCTTAATATGATTATTTTTAGCTGCGAGGTTAGAGAGGACCAGAACTGTGATTCCTCCACTGCCAAGAGACTACCACGTGCACAGACCTGGCAACCTGCATCCCTTCAGCCTCTCCAAGGAGCTTTCCCACAGCCATGCAGGGCGGCCCTTCACCCTGGGGTAACCAGTGGATTAATGTCACTCAGTCCTGTAGTTGTAGCTGTACTCTTCATAGCATATTTCTGGAGACAGCTGCACAGATTACAGTAATTATACCGAACCACTGTTCCATTTACAACAAATTACAAGAATATGAACAAAGAAAACAGCAGCCAGACACAATTAATATTTTGACACACATAATTTATCTGTCACAAACAGAAGATTTCAAGCTGCTTGCTTTTAATATTTGATATTCTGGTAATGTCGGGTGCATGATTACAGCTAAAGTATAATCATGATTTTTATTGCACAATAATGAGATCACAATTATTTATCACTTAGTCATCCTTTTGTTGGAACATTTTAGTTTAATGACACTTAAATGTTATAAAATGAATGAAAGCTGTCATTGCTTTCTCATAATACTTGACCCTATTAATATAATATTCAAGAATATTGTCTTTTCACACGAAATGAAGGGTCTTTTTAAACTTATAAATAAAAAGCTGGAAGACACTCAATACAACAGATGTATTCCAGCAGCCATATGTGCAGCACTTTGTTTAATGTGTACTTAATTCTGTCTTCCAGATACCCTGAGAGATATGAGCTGAACACAAATCCAGCCATCTTCTTTCCCTCCACTTTAGTCCTCAATGGCAGAAACACCTTCTCAGTTGAAAACTGCAAGCTCAGCAGGTATTATTGGCCTTATAAACTAAATCAGACCAAGCCAATCAATAGTTCTCCCAATTATTTCTCAGACCTATTCCTCCTCTGTTGTCCTTCTGTTCTGCAGGCCTAAGGTGAATTACCCAACCTACAACCTACTGACTGTTAAAGACAATCAGAAGGGTGAGTTATTTCAGTGCTTTGACAGTGAAGCCAAGACTTAATTGTATGCTTTTTCCATACTCAGGTATTTGTTGTGGTTCTAACACGTCAGGTCAGAAGGGCCCGTCTGTGTTGCAAGTGAAAAGGAGAGTCTAACCTTCAACCTGTACAGATGTTGATGACGTTGATTTACTGGCAGCAAACATGTCATTTTAATGGATTTTCCTTCTTCAAACAAAAAGCACAGATCCCAGGCCTCATTAGTGTCAGTTCAGGGTATCTTGTTGGTTGTGGTTCATAACAGAGTGGGACTAGGGGTCACATGGAAAAAGGGAGTGTTCAGTGTTCTTATTTCAGTTGTTTGCTCCAGTTTTAAAGTGCTTTCTCTTTTATTTTAACCAGCCCACTGGTGCTACATTTTCTCTCAGATTTACTCCATTACACTGAAAGCACCAGTTACACTTAGGTTTTTTGTGAAGCACAATGTCATGAGGCAGAGCGAGGTATCCAAGATTTTACCCCTAATTAATATTGATGCCACTCACAGGATGAGGAAAGGTAGAAAAGAGAAGCAGGACAGTTAGAGATATGTTTTGAAGCAGTCAAATAATACATGGATTGTGCAAACAGGCTTTTTATTTTCAATGTATATATCATATTATAGAGCTCATCCTATCTCTTATCCTTTCTCTTCCTTGCCTCTTGCCGTACAGGCCAGTCCTATCCAGACCCAGTGGTCGGAGCCTCGCGCTCTTTCATCCACAGGATATCTGAGCTGTCCTCTTTGGAGGCTGAGACAGTGAGACAAGAAAAGCTCAAGAAAATGAGGAAACCTAAAAAACCTCCATCCTGACAATCACCTTCTTCCCAGTCACACCGGTCAAGGATTAAAACCTTCGAGTCTGTGCCAACAACATCTGAACAAAATAAAACGTTTAGGGCACCGTGTTCGTTTCAGTGGCTTGTACTAACTGCTTGTTTATCCTCAGTGATATTAGTTTCCTGCTTAACATGGCTGGTCTTCACATTTTGGGACTTCTGACCCAAACCTCTCTCTTTCAGTGACCACATATAGTATTTACTGTGGTAAATTGCAGCATTTGCCCAACAATAAATGCTAATGATGAATATTAAATAAATGAAATATTTTTGACTCACAGCTCTATGTAGTTTTCCACTCAACATCTGGATATTTATTTGACCATTTTAATGGCTTGTAATGGCTGTTATGTAATACTGCCATCTTTCTTGCTGTATCATCAATATGTTGTAGATGCTGTCTGGATTGGATCTCATTACAACAGTGTTTCAGACATTGCCGTTAATCAAACTCATGAAACTTTGTTAAGCCAGTGGAGTATCTATGTATATATTAAATAGTTTAGCAAAACTATTATTGTGCCTTGTAAAACGTCTTCCTGAAATAAAACCAATTTATTTTTCATATCGAGAGCTTTTTCTCTTTTGTGTGTCAGGTTTTTTTGTTCTCTTGCAGGCTAATGAAGGGAGCCTCACTCTCCTTTTTGCACATACTCTACATACTATAGTGATCAGAATGGCTACAAACTGCAATGATACATAATCTGCATTCCATATCTATGAAACAGACACAAAACTGTGCCCCCAGATCCCAGAATGTGGAACTTCCCCACATAGCACATTGTTTTGTCGCTGTATAGAGGGCAGCTCATGTCTCTGAATAGTCTTGTTCATTGTATTTGACAAAGACAGACAGAGCAATTGTCTTTTTCTGTAGAGAGAAATGAGAACTTCATTATGCACTATTATTTGAAGATGTAGCAGCTAGGGTTATCATTTGTGCTCTTCTTTTTGATTCTGATCATTTTGATAGTGATTCACGTTGACTCTTTTAACTTGTCTCTTCTCTAAAACACAACCAAAACTCCATCATAGTGTGACTAACTTAAGGGGACTAAGGTCAGAGTCATGATTATAGTATATGAGTCAAACTGTCATTCATGTAGATAATTGTGGATATAAAACAAACCTGCCTTCTGAGTGTGTATTATAGATCATATTATTAGCACAAGGTATGAAGCCAGATGCCACAGCTGCAAGCACAGCCTGAGGCAGTGGGCCTTCTATCTGTAATACTGTACTAACACCAGGAAAAGGAGAGGACAAGCCTTGAAAAATTAAGAAAACCACACACACACACACACGTGTGACATAATTGTCAAAATCAAAACTGTGTTTATTATAAAGACTAATTAGAAATTTGCAGCCCTTTAGACTTTGAGCTTTATGTTAATCCAGTATTTTAACACAAAGGTATGCTGTCTATAAATATTAGAGACAGAAAAAGAACACAGTGGAGAATAAAAAAACAGAAAAAATGGAGGTGAGGATAGTCAAGGTAGTCATCAAAGTGTAGAAAGAGTCATCTGGATTCACATAAGATCAAAGATGTTTGGCCTCTATGTCACTTTGAAACTCAGCTGTCAACTGTATCCATGTGATGTTGTCAAACGTCAGGCAGTGTTTGTATCCCTTCGTCCCTCTCTGTGGATTGTGAGGTGTACATTTCAGGGACACAAAGTGACCTAGAAACACAGAGCCATCCCCTTATTCATACTAAGTGAAGGGTTGTATTCACGCTCAAACGGAGGCCGGGTCTCCCTCTTCTTGCAGGGCTTTTACCGTCCTTTTCAAGTGTACTGAAACAAAATGACCTGGAACAAACAGTCAACAATGAGGTCTTTAATAAGAGCTGTACTGGGGCCTGCCAACAAGTGGTTTATCGTTTCACTGTAAGTCCACAGTACTTTAACCAGGACAAAAACAGACCAAGAGTACAGTACTCATTTTAATCAGCCAGTTTCAACACATAATGGAGCTGGTATTTTCTCATTCCCTAAAAGGTACATTTAAGCTTTAGGCACAGTTCCATTTTTTAAATGTTTAAAGAACAGTTTTTTTGCTACTAAGAACCAGTAACATGGTGTTATAAATGTGGAGTTTTCAATAAAAACGCAGCAGGAGAGGGAAGGGGAAGAGTATTTGCTTAACCAGTGCTATAGTGAAGAATAGCAGGTTGTGTTACTGTTTCACCTGACTTGATGTTGTGCCAGTTGACTCCATCAGCAGGGATCTGAGAATGTAGTCTGTCTGCCAAATTATAACTTTGCCAACACTTCAAATCAAAAATGCCCTAAATATGTTTGGGTCAGCATGAGAGGAAAGAGCCAGCTTGGGTCTGAGGATAAGATATTTTATTACCTTAAAAATTCATGTGGATGATGTGTTGATGTTTAAAGTGCTGGTGCTCGATCTGAAGTTATGTCTGAATGAATTACAGTGATTTAATTCATTCAAATATATGTCAGATCAAGTCTAATTTACTTATAGAGTGCATTTAGAAACAGCAGCAGTTAACCAAAATGCATTACAGCAAAATTTAAAACAATTTTATTATGACATTAAAATTTTCAGGGGACCCAAAGGCAATTTCATAAAGGTGTGTCTTCAGCTTCAGATTTAAAAGTGGTGATAGACGGATCTTGATGTAAATTATGGACTGAGAAGATTGGAGATGGAGGGTGGTGCCAAATCACAGCAGAGAGAATCTTGAAATCATTTCTATATTTCACTGTTAACCAGTGGAGGGAGGCCAGTACAGGAGAGATGTGGTCTGTCTTCTTGGTACCAGATTCCCACAGCTGCATTTTGAATCACCTGTGTGCAGTTGGGACAGGGAAGACTGACTGACTCCCACATATAGGGAGTTGCAGTAGTTGAGACATGAGGTAATAAAGCATGTAAGACAGTCTCTAGATCTCTAAAAGTAGGAAAAGGTTTTATTTTTGCTATTGACGTTATGCGGAAAAAGCTGCTCCTCTAATGAAAGATTTGATTTGTTTGTCAAATTTTAGTCAGAGATGACTCCAAGATGAGGACAGAGACCACAGACAATTGGCCTTTTCGGTAAGGAAAATGTCAGAACCGTGAATAAGAACTTCTGTTTGGCTGAAGGAAATTTTTTGGCTATCCAGCATCTCCAAAAGAACTTAAAATATACTCAAGATTGTGAGTATAACTGGTTTCAATGGCACATACAGCTGCATGTCATCAGAATAGCAGTGATAAAGGATACTGAATTTCCTTGAAGACAGACCACGGTGAAAATAACAAAGGACTGAGGATGGAGCTTTGGGGTCCACCACAGGAGAAGGAGGATGAAAAATGATCTGTTCATACCTGATACAGAGCTTTGTTAGAGGAATGATTTAAACCAGTGTAATGCCCCTGAATGCCCATCAAGCAAACTAATTTGTTGATTCAACCCTTGTAAGAACACCGGCTCCAAAGGGAGATGAAAACAAATGCAAACATATTGCATACAAGTATAAAAGAAGCATACACACAAATGTCTCCAAACGTCAACTGTGCACATTTGCCTGAGAGGCATATAAGTTTAAGGCTACAACCAGCAGCCTGTTAGCTTAGCTTAGCACTAAGAATGAAAATAGGGGGAACTATGTAGCTAACTTGGCTCTGCCTACCAGCACCTCTACAGCTCACTAATTAACACATGGTATCGCTGCAGTGCAGTCTTTATCAGGTGAGTCATGTCTTACATGTCATAATCTCTTCTCTAGAGAAATTTACGGAAAAGATACCCTCCCAGCCAATAATTATTTCTAGAGCAATGATAGAGCATACAAGCTGCATGTGTCAACAGGAACACTCTTGGTCCAATAGTAATCTGTGTCTGTGTACTCAAGTGGGGCACTCAGAGGTCAAATCTTTGTCATGCCAACAAATAAATGCAGAAGAGCCCAAAACTATGTCAAATCTATGGCAACAGAGCTTACTGTGTTGCAAGAAGTCACTCGTTTCTTTGCTTGTGCTCTCTGTCTAGAACCTCAAGATGATAAAAATAGAAACCAAGATAATATTTACCATTTAAGAGTGTTTGCATACAAGTTTTTACAGCTGCCAGGTGGAGTTTATTATTCTATTTTCCTACCATAAATTCATAACCTCAAAACTGTGTTATTGCCAGTTGTGAGTGAGATTTGATGTTTGCCAACAGTCAAAGCATGACTGAGAAATACTGCAAAATTATTCTCAGTGCCAGTCCCTGATGTATATCTTTTGTGTTTAATGATATTTACACACTTTGCCCTTGGCAGAGCAACACACACATACATACTCAGAAGTGTAGGGGCCTGACCTTTCCACTGCCCTCTGACATTTCATGATATGATTTATGAATACTACTATAATAGACAGAGCCGACCCAAGCCTTATACGGCGCTAGGCAGAATTTGATTTGGCCAAGGGTGTAGGTTTGGTCTCAACTAAAAGGTTTATTTATTAACATATAAAATCTGAATTTACATTCAGAAATGCCTGTACACAAATGTAATGTGTGTACATGTGTAGAATTTGCATATATGAAATATATGTACATATGTAGTAAAATCATATATGTATATATAGTTTAGCCTATATATGTAAAAATTACATGTGAAACCTGTTGGAACAATATCATATATTGACATACTTGTCTAGATAATAGAAACATGTATTTTAGTGTGCATGTTTATATTACAGGGTTATATTATAGACATGTTACTAAAATATATATCCATCACAAAGCCCGTCAGTATATGTTCATTATATATGTAAATATAAAATAAATAATATACAAACATATATGAATTTAATTAGAATGTTGTATTAATAAAGTTGCATTTTACTATGATAATTTCATATATGTTATAAACAAATATCTTCATATATACAGAGGATGTATATACGTTATAATTGACACATATGATGACATCACTCTTGATATAGGGACAAATGTCATATACATGTCATAAGTCATAGTATAGTGAGGCATAAAAAGGTCATAGTATAGTAAGGCATAAAAACTGTCATAAAAACATCATAGAATAGTAAGCATGGAAACGTCGTAGTATACTATGAAAACGGCATAGTATATAATAAGGCATAAAAAATGTCATAAAAAGTCATAGTATAGTAAGACATTAAAAAACATTACTATAAGGTAAGGCATAAAAATGTCATAAAAAATATGATAGTATAGTAAGGCATAAAAATGTCAT